GGACAATTTACAGTATACATCTTTTTCTTCGATAATAAACTGTGGAAGGATACTTGTACTGCCATTTTCAATTAGGTCATCAACTGGAGACTTATTCAAGGGAGGAATATCTTGGGTAGATGAGACAAAAACATCATTGATTTTATCTGCTAACTCTTTACCAGCAAAAACCTGGTTGTTTACAACGAAATTAGAGAATGTTTTGTTCTTGGCGAAACCCGCAAGCTGTTTTATACATTGCCACCATTTTTAGCATTGGGGTTTAGTTTTAACTCATCCATCTTTTTCTTAAGGAAGGTTGACTTGAGTCTCTTACTTTCTCTATTGGCAAAATTTCTCAATCTACGATATAGCGGACTTTTGCCCTGACGAAACGCTCTTTGTCTATTTTCTATAATTTTCTTAAATCCGACTGTAACCCATGGTTTATCATGATCGTGCAACTTTACAATTTTACTAGGGAAAAAACAGTCCAAACCAGTATTTATATTTTTGGCCGCCCCCCCCCCCCGCCCCTCCTCCCGCATACACCCCGCCCCACTGAGCTTACTGCAGTAACATAGGAGTATATAGTATAGTAATCATCTTTCCACTGTCTCCCTATTGTTACACGATGTGTTTGTACCGTGGGTATTACAGGGTATAACATGCAGTTTCCATTAGCACGATGATGAATCATTTTGTACTTTTGCAATTATAATCTCAATAAATTATTGAGTGCTTTAATATTATTGTACATATTGTCATATAGGTTTAATTGTGAACGGTGTTTACTCAGCCTTACACCTTAATGAATCGTTCAATATTGTTCAAACATTCATATGCCAAGCACGTATCAATTTTTTTCATTGCCGAAAACAAAACAGTATCAGTTGTGTCAATGTAATGTATAGTTTTCCCAGGTAGTTTTAATGTAGCCATTGGACCGAACAAAAAACAATGCCAACCATAGTGCTTCTAATCAAATTCACAGATTTGCGGCCAACTTATTTTTAAAGCCCTCGCTTATAAACAAGTGAGGTCTTTTAATCCTTAATAAGTCTCATAAATTATTACCACCTGCCGCTGATTTCTCTCATTCATTCCACGGAAAAAATTAAAGATGGATTTTGTTTCCAGTCGCTTGCTGCTGCTAATGATTTTAATGCTTTTTCTTATCGAAATTGCTACAAAATCAAGGTGTGAATCAGTGTCCCTGGGGAACAAGAAATACTTTCGAAAAATTAGTGAAAACGGTAAGTTATTAGAATTTTATTTTGCCGGCGTGTAAGTGTTAAATTAGAAAGTCATTTTGTGGTGTGTTGTATTGTGAAAAGAGACTATAAGCGTCAATATGTGTTTATAGGCGCGACGGGGAAACATTTTGGTGCGACAAAATGTAATGTTTTGATTTTTGAATAAAAATTGGTAGGCGTCTTGCATAGATGACTAAACGTCAGGGCCACGGTTGTTTCGACCCAACTGGCTAGTTAGTCGTGGCGTGTATAAATATAATGAAATAATTCTTAATGCACGAAATTTAGATACAGCGTGCATTAAACAATTCATTCACGCTCCAACATGGATATAATAGAGAGGTTAAGATACCCCGGTTTCGGTGTACGGGTACGAGTAGTGCCATCTTGTTTTACTGATGTCTGTAATTCGACCATACTTTTTCTGTTTTCTTGCAATAGACAATGATATAATGCGAAAAATGTGCACCTTAATGTGCACCGTACAGACATCGACGGAAATATTGCTAACCAAAATCATGCTACCCGTACTCGTACACCGAAACCGGGGGTATCTTAACCTCTGTAATGTTGTCAAGAGCGACCCTTTTTTAGGCTGAAGAGTCAAGACAATTAAAGTATACATTGATACATGTTAATTTATTAAATAGTGTGATTACTTTACACTTCAAGCCTCATGTACCGGTAGTAACATAACATCATATAACATTTCAAGTTCTTAGTCTTATTCACTTATATAGTCTTACTTCAGCGGGAATGTATTGAACACTTCGTCCAAATTTTTAAGTACCGCAAGCAATTTGCATGCATGCATGCAGGAATATCTTGATGTATCAAACCTTTCAATTAAATTATTAATTTTATTGTCATGACGCGGAAATTTGATGCAAAAATTTTATTTAATAATTTGCCCGCTATACCTGTACGTACAGTATATAGAGGGCCCTGAAGGGGTAAAATGGGAACTGGGATTGATCTATTTTTAGACTGGGAAAATGGGATTTGGGTTGCTGGGACTGGGATTTGGCCACTGGGAATGAGAAATGAAGTCCTCAAAAATGGGAATGGGATTGAGGTAATGTGAGTCGATTCCCAATTTTTCTGCGTTTTGAGTATTTTAAAATACAATTTTGATTCGTTTTTGGTGTCTTTGGTCATGACTTTTGTTGTTAACTATATTATTCACAGCATCACCTGCAAACAGGCATACTCTGGCGCCCGGAATTCTGGGTTTTCTGATTATGCGTGTCTCAGAATGCTGCAAATGCCATTTTCGGGATTCAAATTGAAAAATTTCCCCCCCCCCCCTAATATTTCATAAAGTGTCCGCCACTTGCTTGAAAGGTCTTAAAACTGTTTATTCTACCGATAAATAATGGGTCTTTTATTGACTGGGATTTCAATAACTGGGACTGGGAATTCTAATAAAAATCCAACTGGGACTGGGATTTTGCCAAAACTTCAGGTGGGAAATGGGATTGGGACCCCCCCCCTTCAGGACCTCTATATATGCATGTGTGAAATCATGATTCAGCAAGTCTCAATCCGAATCTCCGCACATGCATGCAGCCCCTGTGAATGAGACAGCCAAGGTATAAGTTTAAGACTTAATATTTCAATATTTTCCAGGTGGTTCATTGGCACGAGCAGTTGTAATATCTACTCATACTGTCCATTCTGAAGCTGAATGTTCCCTGAGATGTCTCAAAGAAGAAAAGTGTGTTGGTTTTAACTACAGATCAAAGTCAAACAATAAATATGTACGAAATTGCCAAATCAGCAATAAGACTCAAAGTCAAGCGTCAGACACTACAGGCGGAAGCGAAGAATGGACATTCTATCAGTATCTGAAAATAGTAAGTGTATATATAACATTCTTTGTGTGGAAACCACTAAAACTATATATAATTATTAGGAAGACCAAGATCACGTGTATTCAGGCATGCATATGATTATTTAAAATTAGTTATAGACGGCCACGAGTGCCAAATACTGATCCGACTTGAAAAATTATCACATTCACGAATAATTATTTTTAGTATTTTTGCACAAGTGAACATAACAAATCCTACAAGTTGATTGGTCAAATATGACGTATTTTAATACGTCATATTTGACCAATCAACTTGTAGGATTTGTTGTTCACTTGTGCAAAAATACTAAAAATAATTATTCGTGAATGTGATAATTTTCCAAGTCGGATCAGAAAAGCTGTTATATTCACCTACAGGTGAATATAACAAAACCGAAATTTTCAAAAATGGCGGCTAGCAGTTTTGTGAACGCTATACTGATAAAGAAATAAATCCAGTCCCAAAAAACACAAAAATACTAAAACAATTATTCGTCTCAGTGAGCTCGGTGATTATCGGGGAATATTCACCTTGACTTCGTCTCGGCGAATGTTCCCCGATAATCACCTCGCCTTCGGCTTCGGCGAATAATTGTTAAATATTATATGAGTATTGAATTTATACCGCAAGCCAATAAAGTAGTGAAATAAAAACCATATACAGTATGGGCTGCCTAAAATTTCTTAGGATCTCATTGAACATACGACATTCGCCACTAGTGAAGAACGCTGTATTGCAGGGCATTTTTTAACTATATAACTGGGGGGGCCAAAGCCCCCCCAGCCCCCATGGTGGCCCCCCCACTCAACCATTTTGGCCCCCCCAGTCAAAGTCCCTTTTCTCTAAAATATAAGCAAAACATGGAATTTAGAAGGGAGGTTTGATATTCTAGTAACTGAAATTTGCTGTGTGAATCTTATGTCCTGTCTTTTATGTTTAATAAATACCTTATTAGATTTTAAACATTTCCCAGGCAGTGGATTGCATTCCCCAGACCCTATAGATTTGAGTTGTTGGACAAGTTAGTGACCACAGGGGGCAACAGGCCCTCAACCAAGTGTTTTATAAAGGGGGGGGGGGATAATTTTGGCCCCCACCAAAAAAAAACAATTTGATTTCGAAACTAGAAGTATTTGAAATCATTATACATATAATCAAATATCTGTAATCGATATTTTGATAACATTTCTCGTAATAATCCATCCTGACTCGCGGATAGCATAGACTCACAAATCATAATGAACGAATTAATGAAAGGGCCTAACAAAAGACGTATAGAAGACTTTGAAAATGCCATTTCCGACGATTTAGAGACGCAAAATTTTCAAAATTTTTCCGCTCTGTGCCAACCATGGTGGCGCTTCGAGGGAGTCGGGAACTCTAAGTTTATGAAGCTGGCTCCCTAAGTGACACCAAGTTGTCGTATCTACATAAACATACTATGCAAGTACTTAACTGAAGGTTCAGTCTATCTACAGCATAATGTAATGCTGTATATCCAAAAATCTGTTTCAGAAAATGCAGGGAATTGCAGTCATAAGGGTAAAAAAATACAAAAATTTTCTGGGGAAGAAAACCCCAGACTCTCTCCAGGGCCGTAGCAACCGCGGGGGGGGGAGGCTGGGGGGCTGCAGCCCCCCAATAAATTGCTAATAATCATTCATTTTTCAAAATCATGCAGCCCTTCATCATTTAATCCATGACAAACTGCAAAGAAAGAAGATATTACCCAACTTTCCTGCAACTTATCCAATATATCGTTATTAAATACACCTTCTCCCATTTAGTACTACTGAATTCTAAATTTCGACATACTAAAACGCTGTTTTCTGACAATCAGAAATCTGTCAAATCTTCCCCAAAGTCCAGGAAATGGCATTTCAGAGACTCTAAGTTTAAAAATTTCCTCGGGCCTTCGGCCCTCGCTTTCAGCCCCCCCCCCGAAACGAAAAGAGCTTCCTACGGCTCTGTTCTCCCCCCCCCCCTACTATTAAATGCGATATCACACCAAACTTTGTGTTACCAACAAACCATCTATCATTTCTCCACACTCGGTATAGTATGGTCCCTTTTTGTAGATGCCCCACTGACAATTCTAAAATGCTGCTACAATAACCTTCAAGCATTGTCTATTTAAATTTGTAAATGTGTAAATGAATTGGGAGGTTGCCTCGCATGAGTTCTTAAGTCCCATTCGCTACTTGCTTTGTTTCCTAATAGAGCTGTTCAATAAATAAATAATAAATTTTAACCATCTCGATAGGCTGCCTTCGTTGATACGGAAACTTCCAAACGGCGCGACTCTTTATCAAGACATCGATGATGTGGCGACACCGCATGAAGCTCAGACGCCAAAACGAATTGCATTCAAGCGAGTTGCCATTCCAGCTTCACTAAAGGACAAAGAATACCTCAGGGGAAAAGGCATTTGCTGTTCGGAATATTTTCTTTCCAAAGATAGAAAGCAGAATGATGCCAAAATTTCTGAAATTTTGCCAGACGTGTATTTTCCGTTATGTTGCGAGAAAGGGGAAGCGAGAACATGCGAAGATCATCATGATTTTCGTGAGTGTTTGGCCAGGAAACCGACAGCACCAGAAAAAGTGAAGACGTTTCAAAGTCTAGCTCATAAAAAGTAAGTTGGATAGGTAAGGTTGATTTTTGGTGATGATGATGATGATGGTGATGATGATGGTGGTGAAATAATGATTGTGATGGTGGTGATGATGATAATGATGATGATGGTGGTGATGATGAGGGTGATAAGTGGTGATGGTAGTGATGATGGTGATGATGGTGATGATGATGATGGTAAAATATTGATTGTGATGGTGGTGATAATGATAATGGTGATGTGGTGATGATGATGATGGTGGTGATGATGAGGGTGATAATGGTGATGGTAGTGATGATGGTGATGATGGTGATGATGGTAAAATATTGATTGAGATGGTGGTTATAATGATAATGGTGATGTGGTGATGATGATGGTGGTGGTGATGATGAGGGTGATAATGGTGATGGTAGTGATGATGGTGGGATGATGATGATGGTGATGATGGTGATAATGGTGGTGATCGTGATGATGGTGGCGATAATAATAGTGGTGTGATGGTGGTGATGATGATGGTGGTACAGTGGTGATGATTTTGGTGATGATGATGCTACTGCTGACGATAATGATGAGATGTTGATGATGACGATGATGATGGTGGTGATGATGATGATGATGATGGTGGTGGTGATGATGAGGGTGATAATGGTGATGGTAGTGATGATGGTGGGATGATGATGATGGTGATGATGGTGATAATGGTGGTGATCGTGATGATGGTGGCGATAATAATAGTGGTGTGATGGTGGTGATGATGATGGTGGTACAGTGGTGATGATTTTGGTGATGATGATGCTACTGCTGACGATAATGATGAGATGTTGATGATGACGATGATGATGGTGGTGATGATGATGATGATGATGGTGGTGGTGATGATGAGGGTGATAATGGTGATGGTAGTGATGATGGTGGGATGATGATGATGGTGATGATGGTGATAATGGTGGTGATCGTGATGATGGTGGCGATAATAATAGTGGTGTGATGGTGGTGATGATGATGGTGGTACAGTGGTGATGATTTTGGTGATGATGATGCTACTGCTGACGATAATGATGAGATGTTGATGATGACGATGATGATGGTGGTGATGATGATGATGATGATGGTGGTGGTGATGATGAGGGTGATAATGGTGATGGTAGTGATGATGGTGGGATGATGATGATGGTGATGATGGTGATAATGGTGGTGATCGTGATGAAGGTGGCGATAATAATAGTGGTGTGATGGTGGTGATGATGATGGTGGTACAGTGGTGAGGATTGTGGTGATGATGATGCTGCTGCTGACGATAATGATGAGATGTTGATGATGACGATGATGGTGGTGATGATGATGATGATGATGGTGGTGGTGATCATGATGGTGATGGAAATGATGATGGTGATGATGATTATGGTAGGGATGACTATGATGATAGTGGTGGTGATGATGGTGACAATGATGGTAATGATGATGATGGTGGTGATAATAATTGCGGTGGTAATGATGATGATGATTGATGATGGTGGTGGTGGTGATGATGATGGTAATGAAGATAGTGGTGGTGATGATAATGATGATAGTGGTGATGATAATGGTGGTGGTAATGACGATGGTGATGATGATGGTGGGGATAAGTAGCGTAGCCAGCCCGACGATTTAATCCCGCTATGTAAATATTTTCGTTTTCATTGACTGTAAAAACAATCAATTTCTAAAGAAATAAATAATGATAATAATTTTGAATTTTCATAGCAGGACTAAATTGTCGGGCTGACTGCGGCACTAATGGGGATGACCATGATGATAATAGAGGTGGTGGTGATGATATATGGTAATGATGCTGATGATGCTGATGATGATGTACGTTGGTGATGATAATCGTATCAGGGGTGGTGATGTCTCATCTTTCCTAAACAATTGTATTCTCCTTTCTCAGATACCACGAGGATTTCCCAGAACTTATCCCAGATTTACGAGAATCTCACAAAAATTCGAAGAAGTACTTTTTCCATGGCTATCACACTTCGGTATTCCGTGGCTAGGACGAAAAACAAATATATTCATCGCAACGCCGAAGAGCTGTAGGAGCACTGCAGAACCAAATTGACCGCGCTTATTTTATGAATGATTGTATTTTAGCAAAAACACTGTTGTGAGCTCACTTGTCGATGTAACAACTAAACGAAGTCGCAGAAAATTGTATTATTCAAACAAGAACACTAAACTAAATAGCTCTGTCAGTTTTAAACCGCCCTTCCTAGAGGTTAAATAAGGGTCTTCCCGAATTATCGCAACAAGAGTAAATCAGAACTAAACTAATTTTAAGTTCTTGGTAGGTTTGCCGATGGCGATAAAACATAAAATATTGCTGTTTGTGGAAACACCACGTAAATTTATTACTGGAAAGCTTTTGATCCGTAAGCCCGGATCTTCATCAGTGCTAATATAATTATTAGCATAATAATAATTATTATTATTAGCATTTAGCACTGATGAAGATCCGGGCTTACGGATCGAAAGCTTTGCAGTAATAAATTTACGTGGTGTTTCCACAAACAATAGTATTGTAAATTAATTTTATTATTGTGGCAATTGACAGAGACGCTGGAACGATAAAAAGGCAAAGGGGGCAAACGCACACCAAAGGACACCACGATCTATAGACACCGGTGAAGATATAAACCTATAATTATACAGTATGTTGACTTGCCAATGAAAGCAAACACACTTAATCAGGTCACATTCAAGATCACACCTCATGATTTTGCCCAAAAAGCATCACTGGAAATGTGATTTA